CATCAGGAAAACCAACAGGGATAAACGTAGGATCGTTTTATTACTACAAGTACATAGATTCAAAGCGTTCCCACAAAACAGGGATGACGTGCTCAAGCAGACGTCTAGTGTTGTTTCGATTCAAATCACAGTCGTTCTGAGTTCATTTAAAAACAACAGTCGTGATTCACTTGTTTGAGTTCAGCCACAGTCAGCCTGTTCATCCTCCTCAGCTTCTTCTTGGACAGTTTTGGTACATCTGGTTTGGCTTCCTGCAGACGAAACAAGGATGTTCAAAACAAGCGGAAAAAAATAAGAAAAAAGAAAAAAAAATAAATAAATCACTTCCGCTAACGGACAGTATCCATACCTCATCGCTGTCGTCGCTGTCCTTCCTCTCCAACTCGAAGCCTTTTTTCCGCAGCATGCCGATCGCCTCCTGCTTTTCGGCCTTCTCTGGCTCCTTTTCTTTCTCTTTCTTCACGTCGTCAGTGAGCTACGTGTAGGGAGAGAGAGGATAACTGTTAAATAAATCAAACACTAAAAGGCAATTCAACTTGGAGTCTAAATTATAAAGCTACTGCAGTCACCTTAAACGCTTCGAAGATCCTCTTGAAGAAGATGAAGTTTGGGTCGTAGATCTCCGGCTCTTCGGTGACGTACTCGATCTCCACCTCCGGGTCTTTTCCTTTGTCTTTATCTTTGTCCTTCTCCTTCTCACTGCCTTCCTTCTTCTGCTGCTGCTGCTGCTGCTGCTGTTCAGCTTGCTCCTTCTTTTCCAGCGCTCGCTTCTTCTTGCTCTTCTTTTTGCGGTTCCTGCGTTTGCGGTTTTTCTAGTGAAAACATTTAGTTTGTAAAGTCAAAACAATAAAATAAAACAATTGCTATTCAGAAGAGTAGATTGTGAAGGTTAAAAGACTCACATCTTTTTTAGACATCTGGCCGTCGTCGTCCGTTTCAGACATGGCTTGAGCGGAGGAATTGTTGGCATCCATGTCTCCATCATCGTCATCTTCCTCTGGAGGAACAAAGGGCAGATGATGACATTTAGATATTTTAAAACAATTATTTATTCAGATGTTTTCAGCCTTCAGTAATCACTAGATTTAAATAGAGAAGATGAGCACATTCGACCACCTGATGCAGTAGTTTTAGTTCATACTACACGATTTTGTTGCCCCCATTTTCCCCTTAAGATAATCTTACAACGTTGGCCGATCTAAGATTGTCGCTGGTGATGTCGTAACCGATCATCCTGGAGTGTGGTGTAGATCGCGTGGCCGCTCAGATCTAAATCAGGGGTTATATCCGAGGGGGAGCTTAACGCTGAATGTGACAGGTAGCCCATCAGAAAGCGTGGATTCTCCTCCTGCTTTCGGATAATTAAAATGAGGTCGATAGGTTTAATTTATCGTGCGATTAATTGATTTATCGTTTATCGTGACAGGCCTATGGGGGAGTCAATTAAGCGGATAAACCGGCACTTTCTTCACATGTTTAAGATTTCTTTTGGTAGAAGAAAAAGGTTTTTAAATCTGCCAAGGGTACGGATAATTTTTGAGCTCAGCTATAAATGTGGTCTGATCGGCCCAGAAGAGAATGTGATACTAGGCTGGAACAGTCACGGAAAAAATCCAGACCCAGATGTAAAAGATTTGATCTGTAGCGACCAAGCCAATTATTCAGAAGGAATATCCAGCAAAAAGGAGAAGAGAATCTCTTTAATCAGCGTTTCTCTTTCAGTGGCGGATAGCTGTGCTGACCTGGTGCGTCAGTGAGCTGCTCCTGTCTGATCTCCTTCAGCTGGAGGATCTTCTCCAGGACCTGGGGGATTTTAGGCCCGCCGACACTCACTTCCTCGTTCTGCCAGGGCTGGAAGGGTTTGGATTCAGAGACTTTAATCAGGATAAAGATAAATCACAGACTCCACTTTCAGCCAGCAGGCTGACAAGATCTCCCAAATGAAAAGAGAAGTTTTTAGTTTTAACTTTTAGAGTAAAAAAAAAGTAATTTGAAGAAGAAGATATATAAAAATTTGCATCCAATAAAAAGACAAAATCCAAAGGAATGTCTTTTTAACAAACAAAGGATTCATTTAGAACCAAACTTGCTGTGAAAGCTTTTGAATTTGTTGTGAAAAAAAACCTTGTACAGGAGGAAATGGTGCGTTTACCTCCTTGTTATCTTCTCCTGGAGGAGGAGGGACCCTCTGCTTCTGGGGGGGCAGCATGGTGACACCAGGAGGAAGTGGACCTCGAGGATCCAAGACTGAAACTTCACATGGAAATCACAAGGAAACATTAAAACATGATCATTTCATTCTAACTTTGAAACGGCGCCTATTGATATCTCAATTTTTTTTTTTTAATATTATAACTCAAAAGGGACATTTTATTTCAAACAGTTGAAGAAAACGCTAATTGGAATTTCTCAAAAAAGTGCATATTTGAGAAATGGAAGGAAAATGATACCTGATATTATATTTTACTAATACTTTTTTTTTATTATTTAACTCCATTTAACTCCACAAAATATATTTAACAATTTATTTTACAGAGACAGGTTTCACTTTGAGAGGTAGGTCTATTAGCTATACGCACAATGGAACCAAAATGTTTTGCTATTCTATTGAAAGTAACTCAACCTCCCTCAATCTGAACGGAGAGCATCTGAAAACACACAGTTTTCAAATCTTCACACAGGTTCCAAGCTGGAAGCAATTTTTATTTGAATAAAAGGTTTAAAACAAACCTGTGGGCAGGGATCTCGTCTGCATCTTGACCATCTCCTGCTGCCGCTCCTGCTCCATCATCACCGCAGCCTGACGCGGGAGGAGAACAAAACCAGCAAATGAAGAGGTGCATGTGATCGTGACAGATTTGAAACGGTTACATTATGTCTGGTGTTCTGAAAGGTTCCAGTGGGCTACAAGCGGTGGGTGAAGCTCACCTGCTGCTTGGCCCGTTCCTCCTGCTGTAGAACCATGGCTGCTCTCTGCTGAGCCATCTTCAGCTGGTCGTCCTGGGACAGGCCCGGAGGCGGCAGGGGAGCGTGCTCCATGCCCATGGGAATGCCCGGCGGAGGCGGGGCTCCCGGAGGCATCATGGGCAGAGGCTGGAGCATGCTCATGCCTGGAGGCATCGGCGGCATGGGCATGGGGGGCATAGGTGGAATCGCCGACATCTGAAGGGAGGAAAGATATGGAAAATGAGAAAAATACATTTATAATATAGAAGCTGCTTGATTATTTGTAATCATTACTAAAAATGTTGTTAGAGCAGCCCTAGTCCTACAAATGTCCAGGTGAGACAACAGCATATGGTGTTGTTACTTATAATTTATGCATTAATCTTTATTCTAAACAGGTAGTCAAACTAAAATCAATGCAAATTAATATCAGACCAAACTGTGTTTTATAATGAACAGGTAGTCTATTAACAGGATGTACACAAAGACAATGTTGTGTTGTCAAATCCTGGACATTTTGAACATGCAACTCGTTTCCAACCCATCATAGCGAAATAAATGAACCACCACATTCCCTCACAATGCCCCTGTGACCTGTAAAGAACTCACCTGAGAGGCCATTTTGTCATCATTTGGTTTAGTAAGGATGATTCCAGTCTGCAGCACAACAAATAACTTATTTCAGACACCAAATGACTAAAAGAAGAGGAGAATTTAAATTTGTGTTGCAACAAACCCCACAAAAACGACTGGAGGCCATTATTTCTTGTTTAAAGTTCGGCGGTTTGCTCACCTGGATCATGTAACCTTTCAGCCTGTCGATGAGCTCCTCCCGAGGTCCTGGACGAGAGAAAATTAACACTAATCTTAATATTATCCACCAGATAACGTTTATGTAACGAAGACGTAAATAATCATTGCAAAAACTGAGTAACTAATCCATTCAACTACTCCTGAAAGTTAGCCAAGGCGCAAAAATTAAAGTGGGTGCTTCGCTAAAAACTATCACATCGGTTCAGCTTGTGCTTTAATCATCCCATATTGGGTCGGAAAAATTATATACATGCTAACTACTACAAATAATGCGTTCAAGTTGATGTAAACACTGTACAGGCCTGGCGGCAGCCCACCTCAACGGAAGCACTGCGTTTCAGTAGTGCTTGCTGCGGCTAGCAACTGGCTAGCCAGAAATTAGCTAAACACGCTGCTGATGAAGTTCTATCTCCGCGTCTTTCATACCCATGTTTGGTGCTCCGAGCTCGGCCAGCTTGGTCTGGAGGTCCGGGTTGCTCCATGTATTCAAAGCCGCAATAGCATTCCCCAATTCAGACGGGAGAGCCTCCGCGACCGGTGTTCCGTCGGATGCCATGTTGAGCTTCTCTCAATGGAACAACGGCGGTAGCTGAGATAACGCGAGAACTCGAGAGAAGCTCGCTGGGACACGGAGTTCGAGAACGACCGATGCTGTACAATGTTACGCCTCTAGATGTCAGTGTGGTGACATATACATAATTGTAGCTTCAGCTTTTTAAGCAAACGCTATCAGATATCCATTCTAAAGCCCAACGAATTTGTGATGCTATGCACTCTGAGAAGTTGGGCGTTATAGATTTTGCCCTGCGCTTAATTAGAGGAAATAAGCTGCTTTTCAGATGTATATGATTTATTTTATACCTGGAATGTTTGTTGCTGAAAATCTCATATCCAGATACATTTTCATTATTATTATGCATTTGCTTTTACTTGGGCTTATTGTAGGCCACCTATTTGGGTGGTAGATACCAGAAAACAACAGAAAAGCAGCTAATAATAAAATTTTAAAAAAGAAGAAAAAAATGTAGAAAAAAATAGACGCACACTGGGTTGTTTATAAATATAAAAAAATGAATTTATTTTTGCTGTGTTTTATCTATTCATGCAGTCGACTGCCTTACTTTCAATAAAACAAACAGAAGGAAGAAGTGGACCAGCACATCGAGGCTCTTATCTATCTGGCTTTATGAAAGTGAATTCCTTTGAGCTGTGCTTTATGAGCGTGCAGTGCGCAGGCGCAGTGGAGAGGGGGCGCACCGGGGCATGGGAGAGGCTGCAGGGCGTTGCTAAAAACGCAGGGCTATAGATATTTAAGAAGGCGGGGTAAACCACACAAAACATGGACAGGAACAGAAAGCGTCGAGTGGCCAACTGAACCCTAACAACTGTACATTAAGGAAACAGTCAGAAAGGTAAGCTTAACACGAATTTCCTGAATCTGGGTGTTGTAGCTGCATTTTACTGAGTTGCGACGATTAACGGGCTGCTTTCGTCCGAACTTTCTTCACAGGAAGATTTTGAAGTTTGTGGAACGAATTTGAAACTTCAAAACTATCTTCTGCTGCAAGAGCAACATTTGTTTCCAATTATTTTTTTATTAAAAACTTTACGACCAAAATAAATAAAATAGTCATAACATGCAGAGTACATATTTCCGGGGTTGTTTCCTTCTATGACATGTCTGTTTTCATGCGCACCTCATATATATGCCACGGATCGGATGTTAATTTTGATGACACTGAAACAAATAGGATTACCTTAGAGTTTGATTACTGGACATGTCCTCTTCCGGGACCCTTACTTATCTATCTATGCGAGTCATATGTATGCTTAAAAAAAAGTTAAATAACAAAACCTGCTTTAAAGCAAAAGGAAGTTGTTGTTTTTTTTAACTTTGCAAGACCAGTTCGCGCACTCTTATCTTTTGATTAGATAAAGATAACAATCTTTCTGGATACTCCGAGTGTCTGGTTTCTCTGCAGGTCTATTTTCTCCAAAGCATTTCATAGATATATCAGTTCACTGTAAGCAGTGTTTGGAATATGAGCTCTGCATGCAGAAATACCCCGGAGGCGGTCAGAGAGCTTATTCATTGCTCAGACGCCTCGTCACATTCATACAGTGTTTATGTGCAATGCTGTCCCTGGATATGCGGTGAGAAGGAGGATGGATGCCTGTTGGACTCAGACATGCATCAGCAGAAAAAGTAGTGTCATGCTGTATTTTGATTGGTGGGGGGGGTTGGCCTTAAAGGATTTTAAGCTGCTCCTCACACAATAGTTCCTCCTCAAAACTATCCGTATCATTGTATGTAGAAATGCAGCTTCCTCTAATTACTCTTAACTGGTTTCAGACTGTAGATACCACAGGGGGAAGGCAGAGTAGTTTATACAGTATTATACTGTCACAACACAATGACATTTTTTAAATAAAAGTGACATAAATGTTACTATTTTATAAGAATGCACCGATCCACTTTTTTCATTTCCGATGCCGATGCAGATATCTCAGGTTTAGTATCGACCGTTCCTAGATTGTGCTATAACATGGCACAACGTGCCTTGACTATACGTAACGCTGCCCCTTTAAGGTGAGGATAAATCTTTCTTTAGAGAAGAAGTGCCAAAAATCACTCAAAATGTGGCTGAATCTCTTCAATATTCCCTTTATTTTTTTACTAGGATCTCTACTGAAATGTTGAAAATCATGGTTCGACCTTTGTGCTGTTTGGAGTGCAGCGCGTGTTCGTCTTGACTTAACTGGGCCCACTAACTGAAAGTCCTTTGTTTATGTCCCAGTGGAAACCACAAACAATTTGGTTTCCTTGAAGGTGATTCTTGTTTCCGCCCAGCTTTGTTTGACTCCAGTTGCATTCATGTGTTCATATGTCACCATCATGCCGTCATAAATCACACCACGTGCACTGAGGTGTGACACTGTAGCTTTCATGGGAGAGGAAATAAAATATTAATGATATCCATATTTAACTTATGCAGGGCAGAGGGCATGTTGATAACATGCAGCGGATTTAAAATCCTCTGCATGTTCTAGTCTGGTCCTAAATATTATAATATTCCTATTTGTTCCTGATTTTTATTTTTTTTAATCATTTATTTTTTTGTTTCGTTATCTTTACTGTCATGTTTTAAAACGAACACACAGACGACCTCTTCTCTGATCAGACAGCAGCACTGACATATCTTTTGCATATTAAACACTCTGCTGCTGCTGAAGAACGGCCTCAATTTTCAGCTCTGTTGTGTTTTCACATCTCTGCGCTGCTCGGGTGACATTTATGATTTACATGATTAATTCAGTTTCTCGAGACCGGTTTCAATAAAATATTTAGAATGCTCGAGTGTATAGGGAACTCTTTATGCCGTCTTGTTTTTTTGTTTTTTTTTCTACATTTTAGACCGGGAGTATTTTAAATGGAGGTTTGTTTTTGTGAATCGTCCTGATTCAGGTGGCAGAATGACGACCGTAAGACAAAGGGCAAACTTTTCCATCCTGCCTTTAAGTTGTATTTGCAGAGAATATGTTGTCCTAAGAAAAATCCTTCCTCCTGGGCTCACGGTCTGCTGCGTCCGCTGTAAAGAGTGCTTATTCTGCTAAGTGTTGGTGTGTTATCACCCGAGCGCTGTAAGTGCTGTCCTATAGTCTTATGTGCTCTTAAATTATTTATGGATGACACACATAAAATAAACAGCATACCTGCTAGTGCCGTCTAATGTAGGGACAGGAATGATACGACCGGATAGCTTGTAGCAGCTACCAGTCAGGATGGAAAAATCCCAGAGTCGATGTTTACTGAAAGTAAAAACAGATGCCAGATTTTTCTTTTACTCGTTGTTGCGTTTAGAAATGCTGTTGCTTACTTTCAAATTGCACCAATAGGTCGTGGTAGTACCAAATATTTCTGCAGCGTTCTGGTGTTTTACTGAGTTCTTCAGACATTTTGCATTCAGCACTGGGAGTCCAGAGCTTGTAGGTCTACCTTTAAGAAGAAAAAACATCTCGTCTCTTGAAGTCATCATGGAGGAATTTTGGGGCTTTCTTTTACGACAGCGTTTTTTCACTCAAGTAAAGTTTGCAGACACTCTTTTGATGCTCCGCTCCCCATTAGTGCCTTTCAGTCAAGACGGAGTCTTTACCCTGGATTATAAAAGTTCTTTGTATTTATCAGACAGTCACTCTGCTGTATAGTTGCACTAATCCTACAGGGTGACTCAACTATGTTAGCCCACTTGACATTTTACCATTTGAATGCTTCAGTCTTTTGGCTACAAAACAAGCCAAAATGATCAGGTTTTCATGCCTGACAAGCATGAGGCTTTTTGACAAACACAGTGCTGTGTACTATGACCAAACACATTTACTTTCACCTCATTTCACCAAAGGGCAGAGTCGATGCAACTTTGGAAAAAAATCCTCCCGAATACTTTCTGTTAAGTATATTCATTCTCGTGGTTACCTTTCCAAACAAGCTACACTTTGAGCTTTAACACGCTACATAAGATATGTGATGTCTGAGGTATAATTCTTGCTTTTTTTGTGTGATTTCTTTAACAATTGTATAGTTTGTTGTCACAAATTTGTTAGCAACGTCTCAGTGAAGAATAATGAACTTTAAATGGTTAAGAAACAGATTTATAACCTTTCCAAGACTGATAGCTAGGTGTGGTTGACCTCCTGCTTATTGCTGTTTTCTTGTTTTATGACCCTAATATCTTCTAGACCAGTAAACAATACAGATGGTCATCTAGCATATAGTGAAAACTGCATTATTTTTGACTTACTGTCACAACAATTTCCTGTAATGTTTAAAATAGTATTTTTTTTTTTACTGTTTGTTCCATGAGAGCATCAATAAATTTGAAAATATAATAAATATATGCTAATGCCTGTAGCTTAGTAATACAAAACACACTTCTTTCTGTGACTAGTGTGCTGAAGAAGCCAAATAAAATCGGTAACATTTGAGTTTGTGGGGCTATGATAGCACTTGCCTAAAAAGATTTCAAATAAGTTATAGTTTTCATCATTATTACAGAAGTATCACAAAATATGGTGATAAAATTTTGGTCTATTTCACCCACCTCTAGTAAACAATCCTGTCCTGATTTGTAAAACTCTAGAATTGCTTTCTTTCCATGAGTATAAGTGTAGCATTGATGCTAGCTGCTGTTTATTTCCACCAGCAGTTGCAGAGGAGGAACGTTCTCTCCTCTCTGTTTGGACTCGGCTCACGGGAATCTGTCACTGAAGTGGGTGTGGCTCACAGCGAGTGGTGGAAACTGTTACAAAGTTGAAGAAGCTTTGCATTAGCCAATGGTAGCTGCTTTAAGCTAAGCTGCTGCCTGTGCCTGCAAGGTAAATGTTGAAACAGGAAGCGGTGCTAGAGAGTTACAAAAAGAAACGAACCTGGTGTTAAAAATAAATGGCCGCATCTCTTGTCGGCGTGTTTTCGGCAGCTCCAGTTCTGTCAAAATGTTCTGGAGCGCTTTTGACACTTCACGGTTCTGCTTGTTCAAAGACACTGAGAGAGCTTTTGCTTGTTCTGGTGCCATGCACAGTTCACTAAGCGCTGCGCTTCACACAAAGCGCATCTCTAAGCCTCTCGCGCACTACGTACACTCCCCACAGAGCTGCTGATCTAAGTCTCAATGCAAGTCGTTTCTGACGTTTTGTCCACGTTCAGCGCTGCTCCACAGGAGTAGCACAGATTTGTTTTTTTTTTGTGTCTTATGCCCTTTTGGAATGCAAGCAGTGGTTAGCTGGAAAGCAAAGCAAACTGATCCGACTTTAAAACAAACAAACAAAAATCCCCTGCATGTTTCATAGAAGCTGTTTTTAGCTGCTGCCTTAGGAGATGTACATGTACTTGTTTCTCTGCATTCTTTCTGAGCTTAGGTTCTGAAATTCTTGTGTGTTTTATTTATTTATTTTTCTCATTCTAGGTTTTACCATCTGGCACTAAAGGGACAACCCGACACCCGGTCAACAAAATCCTGTCAACATACATCCTGTTGCTGCTCCCATTTGCTGGGCTCTGATGTGAGGACGCCACGCCTCTCTCGTGAAAAGCCTTGTCACTTCAGAGATCCTCTGTTTGTGGTTGCGCTTTAAGCAACCGCAATCCTCCACTCATCAATATTTAATAGCTTCCTAATGGCAGCTTGTGGTTCCTTTTAATTTATGATTTGGGCTCAAAGCTATTATAGCGCCTCATCACATTTACACAAGTGCTTTTTATGAAAGGCTGTTGATGCATTAGATCACAGCTGCCTCCCGAATAATTGGTTACTTATTGTCGCCCGATTTTTATTTTTAAACGACCCTCATAAAAAGAGTTATAGTCAGCCGTCAAGATGGTGGAGGCCCCCATTTATGCCACTGGCATGGCCGCCAAGCTCAGGAGTCAGTGGGATCGTGACGGCGGCCTCGGACAGAACGACAACGCGGTGAAGTTTCTGGGTCAGGACTACGAGTCTCTCAAAGCGCAGTGCCTCCGGAATGGGATGCTGTTCGAGGACAGTCTGTTCCCCTGCGCCACATCGTCTCTGGGATTCAACGAGCTCGGCCCCAGATCCTCCAAGACCAGCGGCGTCCGCTGGATGAGACCCTCGGTAAGAAAAGGGGGGGGGGCGGTGTCTTTACTGTATTGTTGCAGATTCGTTAAGGGATGGGACGGCTATTCGTGCTGAATTCGAAGAATGTTGGAAATAGAGACACACGTATGAGTGATGTTACTTTTCTGAGGTGGTCAAAAGTCAACTCTGAGCTCAACAGTGTCTAAAAGAATTGTTTTCACTCCTTCGACTTTTTGTCACAGTACAACCACAAGCCTTAAAAATATATTAAATTCAATTAAAATGAATCAGATGTATATCTGACAAATCCATTGAGTCAATACTTTGGAAAATGACATGTTACTGCCATTAGAGCTGCAAGTCATTTTTGAGGTACGTCTAATTTCTGCCAGTTCTTCCAATTTCAGACGCAAGGCCTTTATGAATATCAATTTTCAGATTTTGCTGAAAATTTGGCTTTAGGTCTGGCATGGTACTACTCTAATAAACGATTACGTTCTGGTTGAATGTTGACAGTTGTCTTGCCTCAGTGTGTCGTCATTTGCAGCCTTTAACCACTTTTCTTCAAAATTGACCGTGAATTTATTTCAGTCCCCGTTACTTAATGCTGTTCCGTGTACGTATGAGGTCATCAACTGGATTAAAACTGAGATTAAGTTGCAAAATTAGGGATTCTACACACTAACTTGGTAACTTCTGAATTTAAAACTTCTGAAGTCAGTTGTTGCATGGCAGACGTTTCGGGTTGCTATTGTGCTGCATTGTGTCCTGTTATCACATAATAGCCCAATTAAAGACATTGAGAAATGCATGTGAATGAATAGGAAGGCTTTTTAGATGAGGTGGAATTATTGAGTAATGTAAGGAAATAACTGCTTTAATCTGTGCTTGTTCTGTTGCCCAGTATGAACAATAACACTGTTATTGGAAAGCTTATTGTCCAATCCCAACCTCAACAAAAACAGAGATGTGAACTATTTTTTTTTTTTTGTGTGTGTGTGTGCGTGCGCATGTGAGAGCAGATAATGACTTCGTAGGAGTTTTGCGAAGTCTTCCCCAGGATTATTTGATTACCCCCTGAAGCAAATTTTGCCCACAGTCCTGACTTTCATTTGTTGCCAGGCAACTACACGTTCAGAGCTGAGTGATTGGGGTTTCTTTCCTCCAGTTCAGGAAGTCTGCAGCGTTTTTTTTCCTCCTTTGCTCTGCCTCCCGTCTCTGATTAACTCCTCATAAATACACCAGAGCTCTCGCTGTAGTCGAGTATTTCAAGAGAGCTCAGTGTGATCACAGAAGCCCTGAAGACGGCACGCTCGTCACCACTCCCCCCCCTGCCCCACGAATCGTGACGATCTTTTAGTTTTACTGAGCGAAGGACTGTGATCCGATTCCCCCAGGGTCGTGATCGTCTTCGTGGCTGCAGTCTTTTATCGCCTTCTGCAACTTTTCGTTTCAGTAGGCTGACCACGAGTTTGTCCATAAATACGTCATGGATCCATCTAAGGCGTATCGTGAGCTCAACTAAACTTTAGTGTTTCTTAATGTGTTATATGGTCTGTAATAGTTACTCCGTGGGAACTGGGTCAGGGTCGTCACGCATCTCCCCAAAAATGATTGGATGTGTGACGATGGTGTGTTTTCTTGTATCCTTGGGTGGGTTAAAAACCAGTGGTGTCGATCAATTTAAAAGATTTAATCACATTATAGCATTGCAGTTAATCATGATTAACCACAATGCTTAACTTTGCAAGCTTGGACTGTAAAAAAAGCTTGTACTGACCGCAGTACAAGACTGTGTAATGCGCTGCTTTGACCTTGAGAGGCTTTTGAGTTAACATGGGTCATACGATGAATCTGCATTATGTAATATTAACTCGTTAAACTTGTTAGATTAATCGCACATGCTAAGATGTTAACGGTAACGGCAGCGGTTAAAAACAAACATTTTCCAAATCCAGCGTGTTTCACAACAGGCTAAAGTTGAAAGCTCAAAGGACATAGAGCAGTTTCTGCAATGTTTCTAATAAATGTAATGTTTTATTGCATGTATTGTTTTGCCTTTGTTTATGTTCCTGTGCACCACACAAAAACAGCTGATGTGCAGTTGAGGCTACTTTTCATGTAGTAAGCTACATGAATTTACGTGTTTAAAAAGGCAGCAAAAGAATTATGTTTATTTATTTATTTATTTATTTATTTATTTATTTACATTGTAATCATGAAGAAACCACCTGGTTTGGCTTTGAATTGTGACTTGCAGGGTCATAAGAATAAGACAAGTTGCTTTAAAAATGAGTTACTAAAGGCATGTATGCGTTGTGTGTTCCCAACAGGAGTTGTGCAGGCGGCCGGAGTTCATTGTGGACGGAGCGACTCGCACAGACATCTGTCAGGGATCCCTGGGTGAGTCCGAGGGGGACAGCCTGCAGCTGTTTCACACACACACCTAGCGAAGAATCGTACGAATGTACATTGTTTCTCGCTGTGTCAGATAAATATTCCTCAAAAAGATTCACGTCTCCTGAACAACTGGTTCAGGTGTACTTTCTATTGGAAAGACAAATAAAAAGCACAGTTATCTGCAGAAGTCCACAGTGAAGAGAAGTCAGCAGTATAAGCTAGAGGTTCTTACTTTGGGAAAGACAGCAATAATCCCATGAGTGACTGAAGGCAAGGGGGTGTGGTTGTTCCTCTCTGGATCGCTGGCAAGTGATTGCAGTTTTTTTTTTTTTTTTTTTTTTTTTTCTGCTGCTACTTGTTTTCCCCCCTACATCTGCAGTGTAAGTTTAAATTAGCTGCACCAGTACCAGTTGTGTTTTTGTTCTGTTTTTCTTTTAAATCTGCGTCATCTGCTCCCTTAGCGTAGAAACTTATCAGCCCCACGTAAAATTTTGCTGTGCAGAATTTCAAGCTCCCTGTCGGTCAATGTTTACCCATTACATGTCAAATATTGAGTTTCTCTTCTTTTAGTGAGGACATGCATGAAAAACTTCAGTTTTCAGCAGGGCTTCCCCTTCATTCTGAACCAGAAATGACTGAATTCTATACTTTCTCAAAAATATTTTATATTTTTAGATTTTTTTCCTTCCTTCCCCTTTATGTTCTTGTACTTTTTCAAATGTGTCAGTTTCTCCTCTTTCTTGTTTCCTTCCTCCTTCCCTTCAGTGTTTGCCCTTCCTCTTTTTCATTTCCTCCTGTCATTCCTTGCTCTCTTATTTACTTCCTGTAGCGTTTGCCTCTCCTTCCTTCCTCTTTTATTATCTTGTTCCTTATTTCCTTTTTCTAGCATTTGACCTTCCTCCAAGTTCTACTTATTGCTTGTTTGATGTACAAGAATTCAGAGTGGTTTGTATTTTGTAATTTAAAACTTTATAAAGTGATTGATACTTGCTTTTTATATTTAGGTTTACTAACCGTAACAGTGGCTTATCAAACAGCTGTGAACACCACCAGGTGATGTTTCTGACCACGGTTCTGACTGGGCTGATGTGATCTGAATCACCTGCCCTTCAGACAGCATGTCACAGAAATGGATCTTCCCCATTTTAACCTTGAACTGACACACGCAGCTCAGACTTCATCTAATCATCATGTATATTTCAGGTTTTTTTTTTTTTTTTTTAAGCGTTAATGTCCCTCTTCCAATGCCTTAAAAAGGTCTGGCCGTGTGAGAAACGACGCCGACCATTTCCTGATGATGCCATTTCATTAAAGCCCCTTTCAACAGAAACTTCATTGCAAAATTACCACCACAAAAATGTCTCTACTTGGAACACATTAATAATGAAGCACAGAAACTTTAAGAGCTGCCGTTTTCTTTTCCAATGCAAGAGCAGTGTTGTGCACCGATCACTGGTTCTTTGTTGAAACAAAAGGAAAATATTACCAACACAGCTTATTTCTACATGAACCGCTCTTGGTTTAAGAAAAAAAAAATGCAATCAAGTTGTAGATTTAACTCCAACTACAAGAAAGCAAATGGAGACGCTAGTCGAGGCATGTGACGCTGATGTGAAAAGGTGTTTGAAGTCCAGCTAATAGCTTGAGTTTAAAACGAAAAGTTCTTTGGCATGTTGGAGGCTGAATAGAGGCTTGAGCTGGCATGTATGGCGACATGAAAAGTGTCTTCTTTCTCTTGAACTACAAAGAAACTGTTGCATGACAACTGAGCAGAAGTGGCTTCTGTAGCCGAAGCCACAGTGTGATTCTTGCTAATGCTTCCGAGTTTCAGTGCTAATTTGGAGCACAGAACCACTACTATTTATAGAAAGTTTTTTTTAGTAATTCTGCAGTGACTCACTAAATTATTCACGCACCCTTAATATGTCAGAATTGAATCGATGTATTTTTAGCATATTTATATAAAGTGCATACACAGCCAAGTTTGTGTGTTTCAATCAGCTACTTCGAAATCATCTAGTTCAACAAGCTGCTTTCAGAAATCCTCTAATTTATGAATTACTTGGGGGAGGAGGAAACATATTTAACTCAAAGACTTGCAGGAAGAAGTGCAGCTAAAGGTGCGTCTACAATTTTATGATGGAAAGGCAGGCAGGCCTGTCACAATAAACATTAAATCAAGTAATCACATAATGAATTTAAATAATCTCGATAATTCCCATCCTCATCTTTTATCATTTTTTCTTTTTCCTCTCTACCAAAATTGGTCTTCGGTTTGATGCTTTGGGTTCAATTAGATTCCGTTTTTTTGAAAGGATATTTTGTTTCTAGAATCTTCAAGGTTCTTCTTATTTGCTGTTTTGTTTATTTATTTTGGATATTTAAAATGTCTTTAATGTTCATTAGTATTTCAAGTTTATTGATCTTTGAGAATGTGTTCTTGTGTTATCTTGCCGTCACCTTTATATTACTTGAAGGTGGTTTCAAAACAATAATATTATCATTTATTGCGATGACTTCTGGGACGATTTATCGCCGATAAAAATTTGCAATCAGAGGCGGTTGAATGCAAACGGACAAAACTCTTTTCAGAATTTTCATCGTAAAACATTTATGAAGACTGTAGTTTTCCTCCTACTTCATGGTTATGCACAAAAAAAAAACAACTTAATTTTTGTGTTTGTGACAAATCCACAAATATATTTTTAGAAGTTCTTAAACTTTGTCTTTAGTCAGAGTATGAGCTGCATCTTTCACTGGAGGAAGGTGAATGACTTTTTATTGACTTTTTTGTTTTTTGCTGTTGTCGGTTTGCATCTGCAGGAGACTGCTGGCTGCTGGCGGCCATCGCCTCGCTGACCCTGAACGATAACCTCCTCCACAGGGTGGTTCCTCAGGGACAGAGCTTTCAGCAGGGTTATGCTGGCATCTTTCACTTTCAGGTAACGGCTCCACCTCCTGTGTTTACATAAAGAGCGTAGACGACCTCTCCGTCTGTCGCAGACCCGTCTTAATGTTTGATCGATCTTTCCCTGTATACCTTCAGGACAACACAGGGATATTTTCCCGCCTACAGCTTTCCCCGTTTCCATGTCCTGCTCTGCAGATTTTCTATTTTAAGACGCACTTTTCTCCTGCTGTGATTGAAATACTAAGCGGGATAAATGTGGAACAATTCTGACAGAAACCATAAGAATATTTACATCTCCCACATTTTACTGAAGGTTTTAAATGTCTGCGATCAGAACGTGCAGCATAATTCCCAGCAGTCATGGGAGCGTCTCCGGTTTTGAAGGCGGTGGATGACTCAGCCGGCGTTCCCTGCTCAGCGGAGCGTGTCAGAACTCCGGTTTAAGCTTTTCATGGAAAAATTTGCCAGGCAGGTACGATGGCTTCCAGGAGATCCTGAGGTTGTGAAAGATGTTTCATATTCTCCTTCACAACAGGATTAGCACTTCTTCTGCAGTTGCAGAAATCCAGGCATCTTGAAAACTGTTCCAGAGGTCATAGGTCAAACCCGATTTAAGTGTGAAAGCAGCCAAGATGCTACAACTCCCTTAAATGCAAATATTTGTTTTGTTTTTTTTTGTTTGAGCTGTATTTCAGCAAGATTATCTTGAGCTTGCCACAGCTTTTACACTCATTGGCACTTGTGGTGACTACATCTTAAAAACACTGACATGAATTCTGTCATGTGGACTGGTCAGTTAGGAGAGACCCAGGTTGTAGAAGAAAATGATGAATTTAATGACGAGTGTAGCTCAAAAACAGTCCAGATCTCAGGCAGCACGGCAGAGGGGAAACAGAGGCTCAGCACCGGTAGCAACTGAATTAAACAAAGACTGACACGACGAGCTAAAGCCGACACAGGACTTCACAGTTCTACTGTGCCGGCAGACAAACTATCATAGACAAGGACCCGACAAGAGACAAAGACAACAGGTGGGTTTAAATACACAGGGAGGGTAATCAGGTAACTAGACTCACCTGGGAAGCAATCAACAGGGAAGACGCAGAGACTCACAGGACAGAAACTGAACACAGAAAACCCTTAAAAATAAATACACAGAAACGCGGATCATTACAAATTCATCTGTTGCAGTAGCAGAATGTCACTCTACATATCATCAATAAAATCAAACCTTTAACTTGCATCCATTTACTAAAAGAGGGGAACATCCCAAATAAGGAAATTTTTGTATTTATCTAAATAATCAGTGTCACACTTATTAGCAACGCTAACAATCCTTTTAAAGTATATTTACATGAACGCTGAACTTTTCTTGTCATCGAGAACACCCAAAAGCTTTAGTAAGCGATGTCACTTTTTAAAAAATGTTTCTCTGTACTAAATAAGTGGCAACAATCAATAGTGTGACACTGTGAGTTAAATAACTTTGAGTGAAACTGTAATCTACTCAAAGGAACGATGTAAGTTCACAGCACGCAAAGAGGAAGTTGGTGAAGGAACCGAGTCGTTTGAGTTGTCGGACCGGACGGCATTGAATTTTTATTTTTTTTATCCCAGGGGTTTTGAGTTTCCAGAATGTTTTACATTGGTGTGCATTAGATATTGTTTGACTCTGTGGGTGTGTTCAGCTTCAACAGTTCAGAGCCACGCTGATGTACCGTTTCTCTTTGATTCAACAAGCAAAGTAGCACAGAACTGTCTCAAACATTTTTGTTAAAATCCATTTTAATTGGACAGACTTTTTTTTTATTTCAGAAAATGTCTATGAAGTTGGATTTTTGCCTACACTTACCCATATTTACAGTCCCAATGAGTCTTAAAAACATTAAAAGAACTGAAACTGCAAGTAATTTAGTACGAGAAGATTCTATTGCTGTAAAGACTGATTTTTATTTTTTTTTTTTTCACTCACAGTATTAATAAGCCAGCAGACTGGCTGGTCTGGGGAGAGGTCATCCTGGGAACACAGTCTGCTCCCTATTAGCTTAAGCTAGCATGGCAGTTCCTAGACTTATTTTCAGCATGTCTGGGATCTCCATAAACTCTTTTGGGAGTTTCTAGAGATCTATCTTAGTGGTGGCAGGGTAATGGTGTCTTGTGTGCTCCGTGTATTACAGCTAGGCCTGTATGCAGCTTTTCAAGGTTTATTGTACATTTTCACACCAGCTGCAGCATGAATAGTGAGAGTCGCGGCTAGAGGTGCGTGTTGCTCCGCTTCCGTGTCGCCACCATCATTGAAGTAGTGATGGTGTTTCCTCCTCCGCAGCAAGATTGAAATCGGTGACTGTTCAGAAAAGTCCCACATGAATGATTGAGAGGAATTCAACAGAACCGTTCAAGCACAGAGGTGACGACTGTCAGGACGGCTGCAGGGGAAGAAAACTATTGAGCAACAGCTACATTTTAGCTTTAATATTAAAATATATTTTAATAACGGAGAACGCGGGAAAGTGTTAATCCTCATGTGAAGACTCCTTTAGAGCATCTTCAGTTACCTCAGATTCTCTTTTTATTGATTGAACACGGCGGGCAAATCTTTCCGTTAATCTCTACATGCTCAGAAGAAGACGCAACTCTGATCGAGTCTTTTAGCAGCTTTGATTAATTAAACCACTGAGGACACTCCTGTTGTTTCTAGGCATTACAGTGTGTGGATGAAAAATACATTTTAATGGATGTTTTTGCAGTTTTAGTGATTTCTCTGAATTTATTCTTTGGTGGGAAAATCTAACAGCATACTAAACTTTATAGGCTGAAACCTCACGTCTGTTGTTATGACTACGTTTAACGGTCTCATGAGAAGTTTCATAAATTTTGAATGTTGAAAGATCTGAGAGAGGAGCAGGATCTGCCGGGACGCTTAACGAACCGACCCGAACCGCAGGGAACGTTGAGCAGAAGAATAAAACGACGAGTTTTTCTTCTTCTGTCGCTACCCAGGCGTTCAGTCGGAACAATCGCTCCCTGGAGGATCGGTGGCGCTGTGCCCCACTGCGGATCCGGCCGCCCACGGGTCACTCCTGCGAAGGGAAGCTGGTCCATTTGGAGTGGGAGATTAGTTATTAATGCAAACATTAGGTGTTTGATTAAAATCACCAACACCTGTCTGAGATCTGTGGAAAATGTAAGTATGAAAGGGTGTTTCAGAAAGGCCTTACTGAAAAATAAACAAGTCAGTGTAGCGAACAATTGTAACAAGAATGCAGGGTTTTTATTTATTTGTAGGATGTGTAAACATAAGATGTGGTTTAATCTGTGAAAGAGAAACCATAAAAGCACATTTCCGAATTGTTCTCCGAGTGTGATCTGAACCTGTCGACCAACTTTTTTTTTTTTGCTCGTTTTGTCAAGACGGATCTAAGAGTTTAAAACGCAGCTTTTATGTCTCTGCCTTCTATTTTTACTTTCCAAAATCACTGAAGATAAGCAGCCTCTCTCTTCCACACCCAGCCAGTCAGAGAGTGATAAATATCACCTGTATTTAAATTGCTGTTCCATAAATAATAGAAACTGTTCATTTGAACTCCTACCGGATCTTTCAAGCTGACCCTTCTCTCTCTCTCTCTCTCTCTCTCTCTCTCTCTCTCTCTCTCTCTCTTTCTCTCTGACCTGGTCATGCTGCTTTGCAAAATGACCAGGCCATGTTTAATGACCCGGGTCATTAAGCAGATTCTTTGCAACATAATTCAAGAATCTGTTCTGTGATTATGCATGGATGCAGCCGTTGGGAGGTGGCTGCTGCTTATCAGTTGAACTTTGCTTTATTGTGTGCAACAACAAATCCATGTAAACTGCAACAAGCAGGCATCTGTAGCACCGACACAGATCTGGGCTTGGTTTAAAAGGTCTTGTCTTCAGAAAGCTGACAGGAAGCGTACACACGGTCAGTCCAACATGGAGTTTTATGACAGCAGAGGTTTACTCTGACTCCATATGCAAGATATGACTGGTTCCCTTCCTTGTCTGACAGATTATTTGAATGAGCCTGTGGGTTTTTTTTTTAATCATTTGCATGTTTTATAACTAATGATTGTAACACACAGCCTGTACTAAAGGAGTTGTTTTGCAAATGGAGAAGCGTCATTAGGTAACACAGTTGACCAAGCAAGACATAAATATCTGGTCTTAGTCACAGAGGTTGCTTTTCTTCACTTTTGTGAAAAAAACAATAACACGTTTGTCAGTTTTGTGTTTAAGAGTCAAAGTCACAAATGAAAACTACAGTTCACAAACGCCCGGATAAATAAAGGTTGACCAGACTTAAATTGTGGGTTTGTGATGATTTTGCATCAAATCTGAAGTGATTTTAAGACGCTTAACTGGAAGCAAAGCAGATGCAGTGTGATTGCTTGGCCTGTTCTGAAATGAAAAACTGACACAAACCGCGTTTTTAGAAAGAGGTTTCTCAACGTAACTAACTGTATGCTTCTGTACATTACGCCAATGTTCGGCTGACAAAAATACCTTTTAAAATTATGATCAAAAAGTTGATCTTGCTCTTTTGGGAGACTTCAAATGTCTTTTTGCCACATTTAACTTGGTGTAGCTATATTTGTTTTTTAAAATAAAAGGCTTCCATCTTGCCAGCTTAGTCCACAGCCACAACATACAGAGAAGATTATCACCAGATGATCCATACGACCCCTCTGGTTTGGAAGGCGTCTCTGTGGCTGATGTTTTATTACATTAAGTAAATGTCAGGAAGAGTCTGCTGAAACAAACATTACTTTATGTGGGGTTAATCAAATGGCATAAGGCGTCTGTTGAGGCCTTCTTAACATTACACTGAGTGTGAAGGTTAATTCTGAATAAAACTGGATTCCCAGCTAAATGAGGGTGTGCACACTTTAGCAGCTACATTATGGTCAATGTATTTTTTCCCCCCTAAAATATTTGAGTTTTGACTTTAAGTAAGAAGTTGTAGCTGCTGATTTTGAAGTTATTCCTCTTTAAGAATGATTATAAACCAGAATAATAAAAAAAGATGTACCTGGGACGGTCCAAACTTGGCAACAAGGCTGCTTCAGTCGTTATTTTGATCCGTTTTCAAACTGACGTCTTTATATCTGAATTTGTTTCTCTGGCCATTTGTCCCTGAAGTACTAAAAGAGATTTATTTTACAGTTTGAAGAATCTACAAAAACATGCCTCCATAAGACTGTCTTCTGCCTCTTTCTCTTAAAGTCTTACTCTTCACAAAAAAAACAAAAAAAAAAAATGAGACGGAGAAAATCTGGTTGTAGCTCTTGTAATCACTCCACCATCTCGGCTCGCTGGGTCACTGAGCCCTTTCAAGATAATTTGACGTTTGATCCAGCGGGCGTTTTGCCAGCTGAGGGGAACAGAGCTGTCCCGATGGAGGGACGGCACACTCGCTCATCGGTCGCTCATAGCGCGCGCGCAGTCACAGAGATTATGTCAAACGCACAAATAAAACAGAGATCCGTCAGGGATCCCTTCCATCAGCCCGTTCAGTCATGAAAACCGTCGGAGCAGAAACGAGTAGACAAACAACCCAGCTGTCTCTGCACATTCCCTACGTGAGGCCCACGGTGCAGACAAACGTATAAAACAAGGCGGACTGTAGTCCTTAACACTTCAAAATGTAGTTTTGAATGGTCAGAAAAAGGTGAATTTCTTTTTTCCCTGCTGTGCGGTTGTCTCATGCGGCAGAAACATCAATAAAAATCATCACAAAGTGGCTCACAGCTGCTATTTTACACCTCTGGGACCAGACAGTGGTGCACTGCAGAAACATGTGCTCCTGTATTCATTGCTGCTTTACTAAAGTGAGAGGGAATAATGCTCCAGCTTGCTCAAAATGTCCTGCAAATGCATGTTGTGCTAAATCTAAACACGGGAAAGCTGAACACCATACGAATGCAAAAAAAGAGAAAAGCTTCATGTTTTGTAAAACCTGCTCCACTTCCATAATCCTTTCTTTAGACTTATGCTGTATTTGTTAGCTGGTCTTTGCTTCCTTCTGCATTTGCGCGCTTTTAGATCTGTCTTGGATTTCCCTTGTTGTGTACGTTTGGATCCCTTAAGCCTGTGGATAAATTACCCTGAACTGAATGAGTCATCCCAAAACGTTACGAGTCCAAGCTGCGGGGAGTTGTAATCTGTTCTTTTTCAGTGTGAAGGCAGAAAGAGGAAAAGAAAAAAAATCAGAAAGAAGGGGAGTCTCGGTCAGAAACAAACATAAACTGGAGCAGAATCCGTTAAGACATTTGTAGCAATGCTTTTTCTTTTCTTTTTTTGCACCTGGGAACGCCTATTGAATAGTTTTGAGGTTTTTCTCAGGCTCAGACACTAAAGTTCCTGCAAGTTACGACACCGATCTAGTCAGAGTTCATTTGTTATTGTTTTTTTTTTTTTCTCACAGCGTCTAAGGGTGGTGTTCACACTTAGCTGTTCAATTCTGAAACTGGGCAAGTCTCTGGTGGGCCTTATTGTGGCACGGCTTCTCCCAGAAGTGGGCTCGGCTTTGCAGGCAGGTTTTGGAAAGTTTCTGCTGCACATTGAAAGCAGATGCTGACCAACAAAAGTGGGCTAAATGCTCCTGGATGCAATGTGATGCTAGTGCACACTCATTAGCTCTGTGGTTAAGCTAAAACGACAGTTCTCCAACCTTCTTCCTTTTTTCTTTGTCTCTTCCATTGGCCTAAACCACAAATGGAGTTTTTTTTTCTGCTGGAAATTCTCCCATTGTATTCAATTACCGCCTTACGGTTTCTGTACGTGGCTTTTCATTTGGTCCTTGTGAGACTTTTTAGCACGAGTCTGAATTTATAGATACATTTAGCACGCTAGCATATCCAGTTCAATCATAGATCAAGATGGCCTGCTGCCTTTTTCTGACACAATAAAAACTTCCACAGTAGAAGTGTTGCAACTTTGAAATGCTAAATTTAGTCCACAGATGTCAAACGTTTGCTGTTCAGCTGTCAACACAGTGCTGACTTTACTTTTTCCTTATTCTGAGGTGTGTAGATGTCTGCACTGATAAATGACACACCTCTGCATGACGAATGCTCGAAGTGACTTTGGCTTCTTTGCTTTCTTATGAATTCAGGAAATGGTTTTTTGTTCCAGTTGGGAAACTCATTGCATTGAACTTCCATACCCAAATTGTCCCTTGATTTTTTTTTTTTTTTTTTTTTTTTTTATTTGGAAAAATAAATAAATAAAAGGTGAATATGTTCTGACAGCAGAAGTGGCTTGCTCTCTCCAGTTGTTGCTGAACATTTTATTTTTGCACCATTCCTCGTATTATGACAGTGGCACATCAAAAATGACGTGCAAAGCTGACTAATGCGACAGAACAAAGCCCCCTTTCTTTTTATGTCCATGTAAGATGTTTTTCAATGCTTGGTCATATATGGCAAGAAAGGAACAAGTCTGACAGCAGCCTAACCTTTTACTGCAGCTAGCTACTACAAAGGAGGATGTATGTGCTGCTGACCCCTGGGAGTTTGTAGAGGTGTAGATTTAGCACTTCAAGCTTGTTTGGAATGTTAAAAGGAAAATCTTGTCAGGAAAAAAAAACTCCCAAGCCACCGAATTTACAGGAGAAACTTTTTTTTTTTTTAATTCCTATGTCAAGCTGTTTTGTTTTTAGCTTTTTACTAGAAAAAATTCTCACTTCTCATGTTTGTTGGGGCTTTTTTCTTTGTAGTTTTCTGTTAACTTACTTTCATTTGGATACATGTTGGTGTATAATGACCAGCAGGATGCTAATCTGACTTGGACAGTATTTTCTTTTTTTCTTTGTCTTTTTTTTTTTTGGTGAGTTGCATTCTGTAGCTCCTTATCGAGTCTGTGCTGATTTACACTACGCTGAGACAGTCTTGCAGGCTTCAGCTCTGATTTGCACCCATATGCTAATCTGCCCAGCCACTGAAGAAAACGTTGAAATGAATTGGTGAAATTCCAGACATCGCTTTTATGCTTCTATGCTTCTGCAATAAATCTGAAATAAATCATTTAACCTCGACCATTACTCTTTTTGAGGATGATTTAATTTTTCCATGTCACAACAACAAATACAGTAGAGTAGAATGGTTTGGATCTGCTTCATACTGCCCCCTGCTGGACACCAATCATTGAATCAGATCTAATTTCCTAGACGTGAACCTATTTGCATCTACCTGTAATGCTTTAATTAAAAATAGATTAAAACAAAACAAGTACCTGTGTGTTTTCTTGGAAAGCAGAATCAATCACCTAAACATGTCAGGCTCTAGGCAAACTATTTCGGAGAAATTAACTCCGCCCTCCTCTGTGGTTCTTTACATGCAGCAGAGAAACCTGTTTGATTTGGAAAATAATTGCCGTTACACACATTCTGTGAAAAGATCTAACAGAGTTACTTGTAAACATTATTCACCTCATTTGTCAAAAGGGTGAGCAATGTTGTTTTCTTTAACTTGAGTTAAACCAGAATACTTTTTTTCTGTTCTTGTATTATTAATGCTTTGTATCAAAAAAAGTAATTATTTTTTGTTCGTTTTTTTAAAACCTTTATTCGCACAAAAACGCGAAACATTTACGTTGTTGATTTGGCTTAGTAGACTGACTCTGTGTAGTGCTCACTCTTACGTAAGCTTTCTACAGATCCAGAAGAAGTATTGAGCAAAAACCTGCAACGTTCTGAAGCTGTGCAGATGTTCAGATGAGATTCTGGACAAACAGTCCAGACTCCTTTGTTAAAGAACGTGAAATCCTTCATTGTGTTTTCTAGCGCTCTCTGCTTCTTCTCTTGTAATGCAGTTCTGGCAGTTTGGAGAGTGGGTGGAAGTGGTGATTGATGACCGTCTCCCGGTGAAAGATGGGAAGTTGCTGTTTGTCCACTCCGCAGAGGGGACTGAATTCTGGAGCGCTCTGCTGGAAAAGGCCTACGCCAAGTAAGAACACGGCTGAAAAAATCACAATCATTGTTGCAAATCCCTTTTTGTTTTTTTATACACTTACTGGCCTTATCTGGTCCAGATTGTTAGTACTGGGTTGGGTCTCCTGTTACCTTCAAGATAAGCTTTCATGGCATTGATTCAACAAGGCGTTGGAAACGTTTCGCTGATATTTTGATGGGGAAATGTTTTCTGATTTGGATCTGGATATTTAAATGCATTTACTTTTCTTAATTGGATTTAATAGGTCGTTATTTGTATCGACAAGCAATTGAAAATGTCTACCAAATAAACTGGCTTTGTGCTTGTACAAACTTTTGAGAGCTATTGCTAAGCTATGAGGATTAGAAAAATTTCCTGTTTTTTGAGGTTGCAATCTACTTTTTTTTTTTAAAGAAGAAAATAATTTAAATATGTTGTGAATTTTTTTTTTATCTAAGCAATTTTATTGTTCATAAGTCTGTAAGGAGAAAAAAAGAGCAGTATTTGCAAACTGACAGCTCAGCTTTAAAGCGGCTCTAGTATGACACCTAGTGGTTGTCCAGCATAATAAACTGGTCATGATTTCAGAAGGGGTTCAATGGCCGAGAGCTGCAGCTGCGTCAGTTGACAGCTGTGGTCTCAGTTGTACGACTGACATACAGTATTGTTCATATAAACACATGGCTGCCACGTTTACACAGTTTCCCATATTAGTGCAACGTGAACATGAGACTGATGATACCATATATAAACAGGAAACACTGCAACTGTAGTTTACTTAAGCTTTGACATAAATAACGCAGCGTGATGTGTTTCCGCTGTTGCCGCCTCTCGTTTCCTTGGAGACCCAATTCATGCGCCAGAACTGCTTTGGTCCGCAGGCTGAACGGCTGCTATGAGGCTCTGTCAGGCGGCAGCACATCAGAGGGCTTTGAGGACTTCACCGGAGGCGTGACGGAGATGTTTGAGCTGAAGAGCGCCCCCTCAGACCTCTTCAACATCATCAGCCGAGCCGTGGAGAGAGGATCCCTGCTCGGCTGCTCCATCGACGTCAGTGCTAATGGTTTACTCAGATTCAAGACGATAATGTAGTTCTGTCACAGATTCTGAACGTTTTCTCAAACCGTCTTCTAACACGCTTGTGTCAAACTCAAGACATGGGGG